CCCATGTGCCCAGCTGGCCCCGCAATCAAGGGGCTCACTGCATCACTAGCTCAGCCATTTGCTTGCCTAGTTGGGAGGCAGGGGTCGGTACTCCACCTGCTACGTTTGGTGATGGACTATAGTGCCCATCAGCCTGTGTGGCAGCTCTGATTGGCTCTCCCTCCCCAGGAGGTGGGTACATGGGAAAGGAGACCCTATCAGATTAGAGGGTTTGCTCCATAGACACTTAGCAGCGATCAATGGGAAAATCTATAGCATTGGAAGGTCTGTTTTCCCTATCCATAGGAGGGAGTTAATGATCCTTACTGACCTGCCCAGAGGGTGGGGAAGGTTAAACCGTGTTTATTTAGTGCTTGTCAATCACCGGAGGAAAAACATGAGAGGAAAAGCATTTACAAGCATACACACACACAGAGCCACTGAGATCCTGGCAATGCACATCTGCCTTTGGCCCAGCTGGCCCATAGCTGCCGCCGGTGGGCCACAGTCACGCCTGACGTAAGTGGTTGGATCTCCATGGAAACCAGCGGTCCATGCTACGGAAGAGGCCCTGGAGAACGCTGTGCTGGGATTCTGCCACCAAACTGATGGCAGGGGTGGGGTGTTACCCCTTTGCATCTGATACATCCTGCTCGACTGTTGCAGCCAGGAAGGGGTTACCCCAGAGTTCATAAGGAGACTTCAGAAGAGAAGCGATTTTAATTCTGCCTTGGGAGTGCAGCAGGCCAACATCCCCAGCATCAGGACCCCAGTACTTTCCACTGAAATCGGGGCCACTTACTGGGGGTGGACGGGGCTGTGGATGGAGCGAGGAACAGCGATCGGCACGCCCTCCTCCAAGGAGATCGTGACTTTGCAAACAAAACTCAGCTTGATGAGATGTGTTTGTAACCAAAGAGGTGTTGCTCTAAACGACTCTCAAGCTGCCGAAGCCCAAGAGTCTTTTAGCACAGGCTCTCTCTCATGCGAGTAATAATAATAATAATAATAAGTAATAATATTTTGCATTCATATAACACACTTTCCTCCCAGCGGATGCTAAAGAGCTTACCAGGTAACAGAGAACATATTACAGTGCCACTGAAATGCAGCCACCCCTGGAGTGGATCAGCCAAGGCTCTCTTTATTGTCTGCATTAGGGTGGCTCTTAGCGGCCTCAGTCACAATGCCAGGTGTTGCACACGCGCAGAGTATGAGGCAATCCTTGCCCCATCAGGTAGTCAAGTCCCTGGGACGTGGACTTCTACGGGCACAGGAGCAAGCCCTAAGTGATTGCTTTAAGGTCATGTGGAAAGTCTGTGGCAGATCGAAGAACGGATCCCGTGTCACCGGATCCTAGCGCAGTGCTTTAACCACACGCTCTCCGCCCTCTCTTCCACAAAGGGCATTTTGAACCAGGACTCTAGGGCTAACGTTGGGATCACTGTTACAGCCAGGTGTGACAGTCGCCCTCTTGACTGACACCAGGATTGAGCCGGGGACCTCCAGAGCTAAAAGCATCGGCTGCTCCCTCCAGTGGGCGTTAAAGAGCCGGGGCCATAACAACTCCTACCTGCCAAGCAGCAGCACAGAGCTGTAACACACAATCAGTGGCGGGTTACACATGCAGGAGCGGACCTCATTTTGTAAGATCACATTTACGATTATGACTCCATGCACTGAAACATACAATAGAACTACAGAGTCCAAAGCAGGGGCTTAGTGCATCTCCCATGGTGTCAAACAAACCCTCCTTTTCCCCCTCCTAGCCCATAAATTGTACTGGCTATAGCAGGCTAACACAAACCTTAACACACGACTGGGGCTGCGGATCAGTGAGGAACCAGGCTGAAAGAAAGGGATGGGGACGGACGTGCGCAGAGCGAGAGAGACTTTACGGCAGCCGAAGAACAAAGAAGCAGAAAGATAAAGAAAGAACGCATAGCCAAATGCCTCTTCCTCGTTAGAGAAGAAATCCATTAATTGAAAGATGAGCTGGCAATTTTTTAATGTTGTATTTATTAAACCACAATATCCAGCAGGGAGGGGAAGATTAAAGTTAATCGTATGTCTCCATCATCATTTCAGGAGTCCTTCATTACTCCCACCTGCTGCATATTTCTCTCCTCCCAGCGGAAAGGCCTCCCCCCCAATTGTATTTATTTATTTATTTCAGCTCCTTCATTTAAATGAATCAAAGGTGGAGAGGTTCCTTCCCCTCTTTAATTCCTTTCACCCCACAGCTCCCCTTTGAATTGTCCTTCGGGGGGGGGGGGGGGGGGGGGATATAGCATTACAGCTACAATAGGCAGAGAGCTCAGGTGGTGGGAGCCAGAACTGCAGTCCTTAGTTAAAGTCTAGCAGCCAGTTAATCAAGCATAAGTCAATTTAGCTTTTGGTGTCGAGAGCGCCAGGGGCTACTCTGCCTTTCAGGAGCTGGCGGGAAATGTGTCATTTTGAGATGCCTTTTATTTGTGTTATACATTGGAAACGCGTGTGCTAATCCTTCTCTACTGGCTATGCTTTTAGAGGATAAGAGTCTACTACTGGTACCACCTAATGGAATTCCTCTTTTAGCTCAGTTGGCAGAGATCAGATCTCTGGGGTGGAAGGGCTCGATTTTGTTGTGGGCCATTACGTGATCACTAGCAGAGCTGAGATGCGGAATTAGAGAGAGGGCCAGGGAGCTGCAGACGAGCGCTCTCACCTTTGCTGTGGGTGTTTTATTATCCGCTTTCAGCAAGGGACGGTTTAACTCCATGCTCAGGCCTTCCCCAGAAGCAGGGCAGTGGCACATACCCGGTAAGGGTGACCTAGATTCACCACCACAAACTCTAGCACGGAGAGCAGATTTAGTGGCTGTGCATGGCTAACGTCATTTTCACCTGACACCTTGGGTGGTGAGCTCAGGGTTCCCAAGCTAAGCAGGCTCTGGAGAGACTGGTACTAGGCTGGGAGACAAGACACTTTTCTCCTCTGTGGTCCCAGTTGCAGCCACGCCTGCCATATGCTCCACTGGGTAGCAGGAGATGCTCAGGGCTTGATTCTCTCCCCTAAGCCTGATTCACCCCTGGTATAGGGGAGAGAAAAACAAAGGGGGCTGTACAAGACACAAACCTTGAAGAACGAATGGTCTAATAATACCCAAGGTGCACGCACCGTTCCACGAATAGGAGCAGAGAATGGGGGTGGAAGCAGAACTGGTGGGAAATCGATGGAAAATTACAGACATCAGAAAACACCGATTTGTTGGAATTTAAATGTTCTGTGGGGTCGGGGCTCAGAGTTGGGGCACCCAGGGTCCCCAGCTCTGCAGAAGCCCACCAGATGGGCTGTCCCCAAGTTAGGGCTCCCTGGGTCCTCAGGCAGGAACATTTTGAAAAGGTCCAAATCATAGAATCATAGAATCATAGAATATAAGGGTTGGAAGGGACCCCAGAAGGTCATCTAGTCCAACCCCCTGCTCAAAGCAGGACCAATTCCCAGTTAAATCATCCCAGCCAGGGCTTTGTCAAGCCTGACCTTAAAAACCTCTAAGGAAGGAGATTCTACCACCTCCCTAGGTAACGCATTCCAGTGTTTCACCACCCTCATAGTGAAAAAGTTTTTCCTAATAGCCAATCTAAACCTCCCCCACTGTAACTTGAGACCATTACTCCTCGTTCTGTCATCTCCTACCATTGAGAACAGTCTAGAGCCATCCTCTTTGGAACCCCCTTTCAGGTAGTTGAAAACAGCTATCAAATCCCCCCTCATTCTTCTCTTCTGCAGGCTAAACAATCCCAGCTCCCTCAGCCTCTCCTCATAACTCATATGTTCCAGACCCCTAATCATTTTTGTTGCCCTTCGCTGGACTCTCTCCAAATTATCCACATCCTTCTTGAAGTGTGGGGCCCAAAACTGGACACAGTACTCCAGATGAGGCCTCACCAATGTCGAATAGAGGGGAACGATCACGTCCCTCGATCTGCTCGCTATGCCCCTACTTATACATCCCAAAATGCCATTGGCCTTCTTGGCAACAAGGGCACACTGCTGACTCATATCCAGCTTCTCGTCCACTGTCACCCACTGTCACAAAATCAAATGTCATTTTGACACCCCCTCCACCCCGCATATGAATTTTGGAATTCCCTTGCCAAGGGAAACTTTGAAATGTCATTGTTTATTCTGTCTTGGAACGAATATTATTACAGTCAAGTTCAGGCAGAACGTAAATTCGTTTCCAGCTATCTCCAGGTGGGAGCACAGAGGTTGCATGGCCAAATTCTCAGCTGATGTAGAGCCACTGATCTCAGTGATTTACACTAGATGAGAAGCTGCTTCACAAAGTTTGAGAAAAGAAGAGAATGGCCTAGTGGTTACGGTGCTTTCCTAGGACTTGGAAAAAGTCCTTGGGGTTCACTTCCCAGTGCTGCTATATATGTTCTGTGTGTCCTTGGGCAAGTGTCACGGAGTGTGGGGGAGTCCAGGCCCTGCACCCCTCTTCCTGGGATTCACTGAGACTCTCAGCCAGCCAGTAAAATGGAAGGTTTATTGGACAACAGGAACACAGTCCAAAACAGAGCTTGTGGGTACACCCAGGACCCCTCAGTCAAGTCCTTCTGGGGGAGCAGGGAGCTTAGACCCCAGCCCGTCCCTGCGTTCCTCCACCCAGCCCCAAACTGAAACTAAACCCACCCAGCAGGTTCCCTGCTGCAGTCTCCATCCACATTCCTGGCAGAGGTGTCACCTCCCCCTCCCCCTCCTGGCTCAGGTGACAGGCTCTCAGGTCTCCCATCCCCAGGGCACATTCCCAGGTCAACACTCCCCCCTCCCTGCTGCTGCGTCACATCAAGTCACCTAATCTCGCCATACCCCAGTTTTCCATCTGTTAAATGGGGACAGTAGCTCTGGCCTGTCTCACAAGAGCGTGTGAAGACAAATACAGTGGCCCGAGGGGCTCAGGTACTTTGGTGTTGGGGGACAGATAAATAAGTGCCTTAATATGCAAGTAAAATACAGTCCTTCAGTGCACTCACCAATGAAGCTGTGTACCCAAAGTGGCTTCCCTCCATGGCTCATTCCTTCCAGCAGCTGTAGCACCTGCTGATGAAGTTTCACACTAATAATTATCGTTATCAGGAAACATCTCCAAATTAAATTCCAGGCCTTAGTTCCCTTATCTCTCTTGGCAGGTTCTCCCTTCCCCTCCCAACGAGTCCCCAGACCTAGTTAGTTCAAAGCAGAGGCTGGCTTTCAGCAGAATCCCTGCACCATGCCCTTCTCCGAGCTTAAGTAACAGTCCCCCACCCCCACGCAGTCAGAATTAAACAGTGAGAAAGTGTCGGCAATTAACACAAACACTTTCAGTTTGTCCCTCAGATTTACACAGCATAAATCAGTTGATTTCTGGCTCGGTAATTAAAGTTAAACAGGCACTTTTCTTTCACTGCCGGGGCGGAACCAAATCAAACATAGCTCGCCAGAAATCAGTGCCTCCGGTTCTTTTCCATACCCCTTCTGTACGCCCTCCTTGGTCTTCTGCCTTTGCCGAGCTCTTTGCCACTGGTTTCAGGAGCCTGTTGCCATATCAGGGCTGACGTCCCTCTATCTTTTCTAGCACTTTATGGAGCCATCGATCTAGCGACCTCTGCTTCTGCGTTATGCCCCTCCCCTCTGTCTATCCTGCTTCTTTAGATGGGAAGTGCTTTGGGGGAAGGACTGTCTACTACTCTGGGTTGATGCAGCACCTAGCACAATGGGTGGCTTACCCCCTGGGCCGGTGAGCCCTGATTACAGAATGAGCTCCACCTGGGTTGAATCAGGTGCTCCCAGGATAAAAAGAGCAGGAAGGTACAACACGGGGGAGGGAAGTAAGTGTGGTTTGTAGCATCTGCAGGAGACCCCAGTAGAGTTTGAAGTCAGCAGGGGGGTGTTGAAGAAGCAGAAGAAAGCTCTCCAGGGAGCGCACCCTGGGAGAGACTGTCAAGACCAGCTGGAATGAAGACTCTGTGATTTTGGGATTAATTAAGAGAGATCCACTGAACTGCTGGGTCCCAGGGGGGCAGTACATATCAAAGGGTTAAATAAATGGGACCTTTTGTGGGTATAGTTTGACTCTCCTGTAAATTATGAGTTCTTAAAGGGCCCTGAAGGGGGGAAACTGAGGCAGGGTGCTGCAGAGTGACCTCTTGCCAGGAGGGTGTGCTTGGGAGGTAAGCTGTAGGATATTACAGGCCTGCATCTTGGCTGGCCCTTAGGCATAACAGTACAAAGCCAGGCTAATAGTATCTACCCTAGAGTCTTATGCTGTGCCCCTCACCATAACATCTGCCTTTCCTGTGTCAGCTTGATTAGCCAGGGCAAAGTCCCTAGCAGACCTGATGGCATCTCTGGCTCTCTTCTCTCCTTTCTGCCTGTGCAAATTTGTGTAAAATGCTACCCCTGGTGTGAGTGGAGAATCTGGCTTTGGTCCCATTGGAAAGATGGCTGGTGGTTAAGGCCCTGGAGGGTGAGGCTCAGTTTCTGGCTATGGCCAGGCTTGCTGAATAACCGGGGGCAAGTTATGTGCTCTCTGTTCCCTATTTGATTAAAAGGGGGGTATAGTCCTTCCCTCCCTGACTCCGGAGGGGCTGTCTCTAATGTGTTTTGGTACAGGGACAAGTACAATGGATCTCAGCTGGGGCCTGCAGCCGGCGCTCCTGGAGTCAGAAGATTTAAGGAAAGTTGAGATTCTCATGTAAAAAAATAAACATCAAATATTGTGAGACTCCTCATAAAATCGCGGGAGGCCGCAATGATGGATTGCCCTGCCCTGTCAGACACCAAAGCTGAGTTCTTCTTCAGGGTTGTCTAGGATTCATTTATAAGTTTCTTAATGTTAGAAACATCACATTCATCTGACATCAATTTCCTTCTTTTCCAAAGGGGAGGATCAGTCAAAGGGAAGCATTTCTGGCTTTTCTATTTCCTGTAACCCTTTAGGTGCCGGAACAAGATCTTCAAAAACAAAGAAAAGACATAGCGACCCCTCTGCTTGCATAACCAGCCCCAGTTGGGCTGACATCAGGGTTTGAACCTGCTGCCTTTGCCACTAAAAGCATGACCTCAACTGCTGGAGCAAGAGAAGTAGCTCCCTTAAACAGCTGCTGTAGTAGGCTCTTGTCCTCCTCTGTGCAGCAGCTACTAGAGGGAAGCAAAAATCACACTATGCTTATATTGGTTATACTTAGCCCTCTAAGCTGTTCCCTTCCATATAATTGAGATAGCCCCATAGGGCCATTGGCCCAATCCTGCAGCCCTTCCTCATGTCACTAAAGCAGCTCCATCAAAGGCAATGTTACTATGGTGAGACAGCATGACTCTGAGGAGGGAGGGCTGCAGGATGGGTTCCCTTGTTTTGCTCAGGATAGCTGGTAGGAAGGGGATGTGTATAGTACTGACTTCATGATTCCCATAAGTCACTAGAGCATGTACACGTATGGGCCACTAAACGCTGTAATTACAGCTAAGCTTTAATTAACATAATTACATTTGTACACAAATAAAACATTCAGCATAGTAATTCCTAGCCTGCAAATTCAAACTGGCAGGTTTTCCTCCACAGAGCGCCAGTGAACGAAACTGACGTGTTGGTGAGTGGCTCTGTGCCCCCACTGCCCTCTAGTGATTTGAATTGGAGCTGCAAATCATCAGCCCTATACTGCTAAAAGCCACCCCACCTTAGCACAAGTGTGGGGAGGACTTGGGCTTCCCATCTGTGGTCCTTATCTGGCCCCAATCGCCATAGTATCTGTGTACCTCACAAGCTTTAATTTGTTCATGCTCACAACACCTCAGCAAGGAAGAGAAATACTACTAACCCTTATATAACAGATGAGGGGAAACTGAGGCACAGACATACTTGCCCAAGACCACTTAGGAAACTTATAATAGAGATGAGAATTGAACCTGGCTACCTTTGAATCCCAAACTAGAGCCTTAACCACTGGACCACCATTCTGGTGGGGCCAGGGTATCTGGGTTCCAGACCCACTGCTTCCAGGGAGTTCCACATTACCTTGGTATGCTGGGTAGCAAGAACAAAGGAGTTCTTGGTGAGCACAGGCATACCTTCATCGTTCCCCAGGACCTGAGACTCAAATAATAGGTTTCCTCCAATTCCCTTGGATTCTGGCTCTTCTGAAAGGGGCAAAGTCTCTCATCCCAGGGCAGCTGCTCCGAAATTATCCTGGATCCCTTAGGCAATGAATATAACTCACTGCCTGCTTTACCAGCCAGGACTCCTGCTCCCATCCTTGAGCTGCCGGGCTGCCTTCTGGCACTTCAAGGCCAGGACACCTGGTTTTATACGGCTGCTTTGGGGAAAAGAGCTACGAGATTCCAAATGACTAGAGGCAGGTAACAGGCAGCTGCACAGGGACCCAGTGCTGACTCAGAGCGAAGGGTGCCCCCGACTGAAATGCCACCACCACATCATCCAGCGGGGCTGCTTTGAAATGGGTCCACAAAAGCACCCTTGAGTTATCTGCAGCGCAGGCATAAAATCAAGGAAACCATGACCGTTACTATTGTGTTACCAGTGCTGCATTAGGGTGCATTGACAAGACCAGGCTCATCCTGGGAGTAACTCCTGTGACCCCCGAGGGTGAAATAAACTCAGGGCGTTTTGGCAAAGAAGCCATAGGTCAGCAGCGACCGTGGATCGAATTCTCACTCCCATCCTGGGCTGTTCAACAGGGAGCAGCTGCAAACCTGGTCTCATGTAGTCTTGAGACAGGTCTCTGCACTGTGCCCTGTGTTCGTTGCTTCTCCTGAACGTCGATGAAGTATCGCACGACAGCGGCTTGGCTGGGGCGGTGTGTGCACCTGTTGTGTGTCACTGGACTAATGACACAGCACAGGAGCTGGTGAGGGCGGCTGGACTATCCCCCGGCAGCTGTACAGCACTCCTGTGAGTGACACGCTGCTGCGAAATGTGTCTGCGATAACAAAGCCGGCTCCTGAGAATGGTGCCTCGGATAACGGGGCAAGCGCAGGGTGAAACAGAAAATCGCTGCGCTGGGAAGACAGGTTCAGCTTCAGCAGTCTTGGGCTTGTCACCTGAACACGGCATTCCTATTAAATGCGGGGCTGGCTGCAGCCGGGGAGAGGAAATCGTCGCAGGGCTGGTTTATTTCAGCTGGGAAATGTCAGACTCCGGGCCGCTGCCCTTGTTCGGGGGCTGTCAGGGCACTCTCCGAGGACACTGCCCCCGCCGGGTGCCTCAGCGCTGACCAGCAGGGGACGGAGGGGAGTTAAAATCGACTCTAATAAGAAGACTCCCCACTCCCCAAAGCTGTCCTGGCGGGTGGGGGAGGCACACTGTGGCATCCCTGCTCACTGCCCCTGGCAGACAGGAGCAGATTGCTCACCAAAAGCTGTCCCAGCTGTCGGAGGATGGTGCTGGGGGACTGTGCCTTTAAGGGCCGAGCTTCCCAGCCAGGGGACCTGGTTGCTGTGAAGGCACAGCCAGCTGGAGCCAAACACCGAATAGCAGAGTTCTTGCAGGCTGGTGAAGCACGGAGGGCACATCCACGCTGCAATAAAAGACCCCCCGGCACGGCTGCCGCTGGGCTGGGGAGGGCTAACGATTGCAGTGTAGACCTTCGGGCTCGGGCTGGAGTCCGGGCTCTGAGACCCCGCGAGGGAGGTGCCCGAGCCGCAGCATCTACACTAAGGGCTTATAGCCCAAGCCCTGCGAGCCCGCGTCAATTGACCCAAGCTCTGCGAGTCGGTGCTGCGAGGCTTTTTACAGACGTTGCCGGAGTGATCCCTGACCACCACAGGGGCAGGCTGGAGCTGCCCCAGTGCAGCAGCTGTTTACTCCAGCCGGTCCCTTCTGGTGGGTGGGGGGGGGGGGGTGGCACAGCCCCCTCACGTTGGCATGGCAACTCTGGGCCTAGCAGTGGGTGCTCCCAGCGAGGGGTGGGGTGGCCTAGTGGAGCTGCCCCTGAAAATTCAGCAACTTGAACAGCTGCCTAGATGCCCTGAACTTAACAGCGGCCCCTGCTCTGGGCCGAGAGGGCGACCGAGATAGTTGTGGGCACTCCATGAGCTGTGGGCCCCTTTGCCCACCAGTGCAGTTCCTAGAGGAATCTCCTAAAGTCACCCAGGAATTGTGGGCAACTGCCTAGGGACCCTACCACCACAAGCAGGCCCAGCTCAAGCACTCGAGTCGGATGCTAAAGACTAGTCAGGCC